CTTCTTTAAGGTTACTCACAGATGTAACTGCGTTCTGGACAAAAATAGGTTAAGAAACTCTGCCATGGGGCAGTGTACATTTTAGTATTGATTGGATCGTTGTGGACGTTCCTGTATTTCTAATGATCTTTTCTGTAAATGTCAAAGTCTGGATAGAAATCTGAAGGAAAAGATTGAAGATGCTAATTGTAGAGTTGGCTCTGCTTTGTGTATTACTCCTGAGAGATTCATTGAAATGCTGAAAAGGATTATAGTAAGCTTCAAATTAGAAACATTATGCAAATAAACCCCTATATAGGTATATTCAAAGGGAGGTCGATTTTACCAGGGAATAAAGAGTCCCTGTGGGAAAAGAAAAACCAGCAGTAAAACAATCAGGACCAGGTGCCTTCTATACGTTCTTTCTTTAGATCTAATATTTAAAATGCGAGGTAAGAAGTGTGCTTTCCACCAAACAGATAAAAGCTATGAAAGCTATTATTAGCTCAGTATCCTACAACCACATGTAATGTCCCTGAACACTTTCCTGGGCCGAAATAAGTTTTACAGCTTTGGTCCCATACACTTTTGGCTCCCAGCATCGCTTAAAAGAAATATCTACTGATGTGGAGAAAACATTTTGTTTTCTCAGAATCTTCATACGTTTTGTTCTTTCCCCTTTGTAGAGCTTTGGGTGGAATAAAGCATCCGTTCCTAGGTCCACATCTTACCTGGAACTAGAACTCATTATTATTCTCAGCTTTCCACAGGCCTTTATATTTGCAAGCTGGCTGATGCTTAGGCTTAGGCCCTTCTTGTTCTCAACAGTGGGCACTAAAAATCCCTGATGCTGATTTCTCTGCATGTTGATAATAAAACATCTTACACTAAGATTGTAAGCCCTCCTTACCATCTTGTCTTGAATTGTATTGCGATTGTAATGTCTTCCTTATATTGTAAAGCGCTGTGCAAACTGTTGGCGCTAAATTAATCCTGTATAATAATAATAATAAAAATTATAATTTGTTAAATAAAATATTTTCCTGTAATTTACATTGAATGTAATCCTACTTCCTCGTTTATTGAGGCACTGTCGACATGACCAGGGCTTCTCAGCTGCCCCCCCGGCGAAGGCTATGTCACCAGTGTCTTGTAGGGAACTCTAATAGGTAAACTGTAAGGTCTGTGTTGGGAAAAAAAGAATGAATGAGCCCATTCCGAATTTCAATGATTATGTCTGAAAATCTCATTTTAATTGCAGCCTGCCTTAAAGCTGAAATCATTTTCTGAGTATGCCTTGAGCAGCAAAAGGTTGACAGTCTCTCCGGCGATGCTTGGATTGCTAATTTTCTCCACAATTACCAAGTGAATGTAACTTGCCTTTTAGATTATAAAAGTGTTCTGCATTGCTTAGCAATAATATGTAGTGGATGATAGAGATTTAATCAGATCCATCTTAGACAGAATTGAACTCTTAAGTCTTCTTTCTCTCATTATCCCAGCAAAGCAGCTTATATAACCCTTCCTCGCTCTTCTTGGTGTTTGTGTTTTGAATGTGTGGAATTTCAGCTTAATAAATGACTTCTTCTCTATAGCTATGTATTGCCGGCATGTCTCAAGGTTTAAATCAAAACCTTTGTCTGGATGCTAGCAGGTTTCTGAATTGTCATTAATTTTTTGTTTGCTTTAGGCATTGCTTTTCATAGTGTTGTCCGTAGCCCCGAATTGCTTCCATTTTTACAGACTAAAGGAAAAGTTCATTTTTAACCCCATTTTCCATAATCTCTCTCCAACACTCTCTGAAATCACATTGAGATTTTGGTTATTTGTCAAGATTCTGATGGCTTTTTTTTTTTTTTAAGATGACCATAGACCAAGCTGCAACAGTATTCTGACCAAGTACTTGTTTACAAAATGCTAATCTGAAGATCTTTGTGTTCAGCTGGAATTTACAAAGAATGCTTTAGCTTCCCTACCCTTAAAGCTTAGGCAAATCAGCAAGGTCAAGTACTTTCCTTTTTTTTAACCCCCGCTGCATTTAGTCATCCATAGCAAAGGAAAGCCCAGTGTAAGTTAACAGGTCTATTTATAAACAATTTGCAGAGCCATTGGCCCTAAGAATCTCTATGAACGTTCCTTCTGTGTGGATGGATGCACAAAACAAGCATTCTTGTTATATTTTCTTTATGCCGTATGTATTTTCAAATGTCGTCTTGTAATACAGCATTACTACTTACTTCCTATGCTCCTCAGCTCCATCTAGTAGCCATAATGCAGTATTACAAGATGACATTTGAAAATACATTCAACTTATAAAGAAATTATAACAAGAACATTTGTTTCATGCATCCATTCACACAAAATGAACATTTACAGAGATTCACAGGGCCAATGGCTCTGCAAATTATTTATAAATAGACTACAAAGAGGCACTGAAATTTGTGGCTGGAGTTGTAACTTATTGACGCTATGGATTTCCCATATGAGAGATCTGATCAGTTCAGCATTGTCGAATTGAGTGAAACACATGCTTCTCTATTTTCGTCAGCTCCCAGTGTTGAAGGCAGGGTCAGAGTGCCACCACCAGGGCCTGTAGTCATACAAGCTTGCCCAAAACTCCATCCATCTGTCTGGATAAGCTCCTTTGCACAGAACATATTCTTGTTTTTAATATTTTAACTGGACTTAGAGTATCCTCTAAAATAGAGTTTAAGAGATATCTATATTTTAATTGGTAATAGGGAAATGTGTGTGGCCAATGATTATAAAATGGAAAAGACAACTCTTCGTCTCTCCCATCCATAGACAAAAGCCTACTGTGCCTAATGATAAATTTGTTGCGTGGGTTTTTTTTTGTTTTGTTTTTTAGGTTATGGATAGTACTGAAAGAGTTCAACCCTCTATTTTAGATTTACTTATACCAATTGGAGATACTTCTCTTCCGTTCTGCTGCAGTGACACTGATTGTTGGTAGTGATTGACAGCAGCAGAGGGCGGGTGCAAAATCTAGTTTGCTATTGCAAAGTATGAGTATGAGTATGTACCTCATACGTTATATAGCCCCACACTTTAAATCCAATTCTTCTAGTTCCAGCTGCAGAGCCCGGTCCTGTCTTTGCCTATAGCAGTGGTTCTTAACCTGTGGGTCGCTGTGTGATTTCTGCTGTGCTAGGTGAGAGTCCTCCTCAGCCCTCTCCTAGCGCAGCATCTTCAGATGTCGCTGCAGCAGCTGCTTCATCCCTAAATTTTACCGTTGGAGTCACCACAACTTGGCAAATGTTACCAAGAGGTCCCGGCCCCAGAAGGGTTGAGAACCACTGCCCTAACATGAAGCCAGTGAGCAAAAAAGAAAAACTGATTCCGACTCTGAAATAAAAAACTAAAATGAAAAAGCTTTGGCTGAAGTTTGTTTTCCAAAATAAACCATTGCAGCTCCTTTAGACTTTTCTCAGTGCTTCCATCTTCTCATGATTCTGCACTGTGCAGTTCTCCCCCGTTGACAATGATGGCTATGGTTGGGAACACCTGTCTGCAATTTTAGAGGAATAGAATTAGGGAATCCAATAAAGTGGGAATTTAGGAACCATAAAGATTTAGCAAACACAGCCTTTAACTTGATAAGGTAAGACAATAAAAGGCAATTAGTAGATAAGCTGTAAGCACAAAATAGTATTGCCAGGAGTTAGGCTTTAATGTGAAGTGATATGGGTTACTGACCTTTATACTCGCTGCTTTGTGACTTTCACTGTTTATTGAATAAGCATCTAGGTGTATAAATCAATACTCTTTTGCAAATGTAAGTTCTTAAGTGCAAAATGTTCAATTTTCAATTCATTCCATTTTTGCATGAAATTATAATTTAACTAAGAATTTATATTTTATCTCACGAGTCATTATTTTATCACTGCCTTGAATGGTTCCTTTTACTGTTCTCAATAGACTCCTCATGGAAACACACACATAATGCCAGACAGCATTTAGCACCACGCATATCTTTTTACACCATATTTATTCTGTATTGCAGGAGGTATGAGCAATTCTCCACGACTCTTCTTGCTGATTTTAGTATATGTGAATGGGCCAATGGGTACTCACCTAATATGGAGGGTGTCATAGTGATGAGCGAAGAAATGGGCAAGTAGATTTTCTGCTGACAGTACATATTTGTGCAGTCCATGGCTTTAGAAGTGAGCTGTAGCATCATTGCATGGATGCCCTAATGTTTACTACATTAAGAGCTAATGGGGCTCATTTACTAAGGCAAATAGGCTGTTCACTTTGCAAGCAAATTTTCTCCTAACTTAGAAAATGTGTTGAAATTCACTTTGCAAGAAGAATAAATAATAATAATAATAAAAAGTACTTTTGCTTGCATATGATTGGATGATGTGAGTCAGCAGAGCTGCACCTCATTTCCTAAGCTAAGGGAATATTCACTTGCAAAGTGAAAATCCCATTTGCCCTTAGTAAATCAAAGCCACTATGGCAATGATAAGTCCATGTCACACAACAGTGGTATTATTCTGGGTATGGATGCATTTAAAAAGGAAGTTGAAGAATACTTCAGTCAAGCAAAAAGTTATTATGCGTGAAATCGATGCAGCTCCAGGATGATCAAACTGCTCCAGACCGTATAAAGCTAGAAAATGATTATAAATGGTATGAGTCACCATGTAGTCATCGGAAACAAATCCAGCGGAAACAAATCCAGCCCTGTACTAAAATGACTGCAAATTAAACATTTATTCTGGTTGGTTCCTTGCAGACGATACAGGTACTGCCTTTAAAAGACACTTTGATACACAAAGCCTACTATGTTAACACAACTATGATGCATAGAAAGTCTCTGTTCTTATGTTATATTTTATTATATATATCTTATATGTGTATATATAAACCTTTGAATGTCAAACTATCATTGCTGTGCAAAATATATTCTTTTATATAGATATCATCTAGTAGCATCATAATGGCTTCCACTGTGCTTTTTAATTGAAAGTTGAATGTCTTCTATTTTTCAGGTTCGTCAGACAGGCCAAAGAAGACAAGCCCTGAATGTGAGAAAGCACATTGATCAAAATGTTCAGCACTAGGAGGTCAGCTTATGGTTTTACTCTTCAGCTTGTCTTTATTCTGTCAGCACAGAGGCTTTTGGGGAGAAAATAAATATAGCAGATTATAGGTTTCTACTGTTTACGGCTAAGAAATTCCTTGCCGACTGCTATTACTTGTTATTTTATTTACTGTATGTACAGTATTTAAAGTGTTATGCCATCCATTAATTGATATCTCAGTTTTGGGTAGATGCCAGCGGTTTGAAACTCTTGAGGATCTCCATGCTTGATTCTGTAGTCCGGACCACCTTCCGAAGCAGTCATATGGGTTTCATCTTCTCCACCCTCCCCTTATTTAATTTTTATTTGATTTAATATTATATGGCAGGGAACAAGGCAGGAGTGTGCAGATGCTTGGAACTTACTAACTCCTACACGCTGTAAAACGCTCAACATGGGAAAACCAATAATTGCCTATGGGCATGGTTCCCACCTGGGCGTTTTACAGCGCGTAGGAACGCGTTGTAAAACGTCCTACGCCCAAAGAAGTACAGGAGCTTCTTTGGGGCGTATTTGCCGCGCGTATCCATTAGGATACAGCCGGATAGCCCTCGGAAATGCGCGTTTGTCGCGTGTTTCTTTTACCGCAAACCACGGTAAAAAACGTGCTGCAAACGAGCATATTCTGTACGCCCAGGTGTGAACCCAGCCTAAAAGTTTTTAAATTACTCTTCCATCACTTGCTTTATACTTGGTCCTGGGATGGACAGAGTAGCATCTTCGGATGGGGCTCAGCAGTGGTAGTTCTTGTAAAACTTTCTTGACAAGTTTACCTAAAGTAGAACTGAAGCCAAAACTGTTCTTCAGTTTTGGATAGAGTTAGTTCAAGTTGTAACCCCTTTCAGCTCTTTTTTTGCCATCTGTGTCTCATTGGTGAGATTTCCCTTCACTTCCTGTCTGAAAGTCCCAACAGAGAGTGCAAGGTAATTCCTCCAAAGTGGAATAAATCCCTGTGGTCAGCAGGGTCACCAAAACTAATGCCCTACTGGAAGATTTCTTCATCTATTACTGTTCTGGCGGCAACACCAAATTTGGGATTTTCTTTCACTTTGACTGATAACTGGTAACAAATAGAGAGGGTGAATCTCCCTAACGGGGACACATGCAGCAAAATAAACCTGACATGTGTTCTAATCCCTTTCCACTCTATGCAAACTTAAAAGAAAGGTTTTGGCTTCAGTTGTACTTTAAATATTGTGATTATCAAGAGACTATAAACTAGTTTAGGATGCACCCCTTGGTGTTCATTTTTAAAGTTTGGATGGACTGATTCTTTAGGCAGACATTGCATTTGTTAAAAACCCAGCTGAAGTCACGGAAATAGATAAGCAATCAGATAGATATTATAGCAAAACCTAATTTCCATAGCCTCACCACCACTTTCCTGTTATAGCACTGTGTAAGATATCTAGATATGATTGCTCAGGCCAATACATATCAATGTTTGACCATACTGCCCAGTACACTTCCTAATCTACTAGACTTGGTCAGCACTACAAGTCTATGTAAGAATGCTTGTGATGAGGGGTGTGACCCTTATTCATCTATGCCAGCATAGAGCTCTGAAGGGGAGAGCAGCCTAAGGGCCGGGGCACACCTAGGCAACAACTCACCGTGTGGCAATAGTGCATGATTCCGTGTGGATTGTTGCGCGGTCAGGAGTCGTCTAGGTGTGCACCGATCGCACTGTGGGTGCCATTATTTTCTAATGCTAAATGGAAAATTTCCTGCTGCGATTCCGCCCGTGCTTCCAAACACAATCGCGGCTAGAACAGCCGTGCATTGTGCATCGCAGAAAAAAAGTGCATGTACCTTTTTTCTGTAATCGCCTCGCAGATGTCACCCCATTGAAAGCTGCGCTTCAATCACGGCCTGCATTGTGCAGGACCGCGGGATGCGCGATCCAGGATCGCGTAGGTCTGCACGGGGCCTTAAGTGTATCTCTGGTCAAAACCTTTTTTCTTACATTTTGGATAGAGTGGAAATTGCTTAGACCCTTTATCAAGTTTTGTATTGCTGCATGTGTATGTGTCCATGCACCTCTCTATGTGCACTGGCAGCCATAGTCGTTGAAAATTTTTAGGGTTGTCCCAAGAACAAGAGGTAAGGGGAAATCTTCCTATGGGTGCACCGTAAATAACTGTCTAAGAGGGCAGTTCCCCTCACTTATGGAGTTTTCCTCTACTTTCTTGTGGTGTCTCTGGGACAGGAAATTAAAGGAGAACTATGGGGTTAAAGTGACATTAAACCCTCTGATTTTTAACATAAAACAATGCTGTAATGTGTGCCTTACTGTAATCCATGGTTGTTTCCCTTCTCTTTGCTGCTCTTCCTTTTAAATCTGTTTCTCTTCTCATGCTGGGCAGAACTTCTGTTTTGCAGCAGACTGCCTTGTCTCTGAAATGGATACATGGTGTCTGTGTGTAGGTTTGTAACCTGAGCCAGCACTACAGGAAGAGGCACTCAGCTGCAAAGGGAAGTTCTCCCCCAGCATGAGAAGACATGAGGATTTAAAAGGAAGAGCAGCAAAGAGAAGGGAAACTACCATGGATTACAGTAAGGCAAACATTACAGTATTGGTTTATGTTAAAAAATCTGAGGGTTTAATGTCACTTTAAGGCTTTTCCCCATAGTTCTCCTTAGGATAATGGGAGGACACAAACTAGCGTCCTCCCGTCACCCTAAGCTCAGTATACCGCGATCTGCTGCTTGCAGTATACTAAGATGCCGCAGCTGTAGCGGATCCCGACAATTATGTCTGGATCCGCCCAGCTGCGTGACTGACAGCTGGCTTTGCCTATCTAGAGGCAGAGCCAGCTGTACCCGCCCCCTTCCCCGTCCGTTCCGCCAGTCAGCGCTGGCAGATCGGAGGGGGGAATCCAGCCCCCCCCTGGATCGAGAGGTGAGCGAACGCCGGTATGTGTTCGCTCACTTCCCGATCTGCTGAGCCGACCTGTGACAGTCTCATTGTCACAGGTCGGCTAGAACTATGAGGTGAGCGAAAATCACTCGCCTCATAGTTCTCCTTTAAGATAAATGTTGCCAATGTACACAGACAGCAAAAAATATCCTGGTGGGGGGTTTAACCCTTTCCTACTCTATCTATTATATTCAAACTGTACCAGACTATAGAGTGAAAATAATTGTGAGACTTCAACTAAAAGTGTGTGGTGTGATATTATTATCATGCTGTAATAATGCTGCACAAACATATGTGGAAAAGGAAAAGCTCTACAATGAAATTGAAATAAGCAAATAAAATAGTTTCTTTCAGGAACAGAAGGAACCCGTCTTTTAATTGTGTCTTTATATGCGATGGTAAATGTTTTATTGTATCGTGCATATATTTGTTGAGCATTACTACTGCATGTTCACTGCTTACTTAATGAGTCACTTTAAGTAAGTGCATTTGTTATTCATTTAATAAAACCATAGGTGACCAAACTGTAATAAATCCACTACTGACATATCACATTAAGAATCTTTATTTTAAATTTTGGAAAACAAGCATAAGTGCATAATTATAGCCATAGAAAACCCGTTAAAGGTCCCAGCAGCACAGGCCTCTAGTACTTTCTGGCTGTATTAAGATTTATCCAGACAGTAATAATATTTGGTAAAAAAAGAAAAATTGAATAAATTGGATGTTCATGCAGTTCTGGCACCTGCATCAGTCTGCTGTAAAAGCAATTACTGTGTCACACTGTCTGTTTTAAATGAATGCAGGTCTCAGCAATGGGAATCTTCATTTAAAGGAGACCCGTGGTGAGAGACGATGAAGGCTGCCATTACTGCTTTCTCATTCTTCATTTGCTTGTTGGCTGGATGTGATTATAACCCCCTGGCCTTCGTTTCACTAATCTGCAACAAGTATCCAGATAAGGACTTCTGACGTTTCTCTGTTTTGTATTATTTCTTTACCTGTTCTGGCTCAGTGACTTAGAAAGTATAGAAACCAGCACCATGAGAATCAGGCAACCAGCATTTCAGGAGGAAGTCACCAATGGAATTCTGCATATTTATTTTAAGATTGGTTTATTGAAAAACCCAGTTGAACTTTCAGTTTAAATCATCTAAAAAACATCCAGGTGCATCAAATCAAAAGGTGTACAGTTTTACAGTTGGTTCTTTTGAGAAGAACCATTGTTCTCTGTGTGGAAGCAGTGGTCTCCCTGCAGAAGCCTGGCAGGCCCCCTGCTGAGTCAGAGATAGAGCTGTCCATGTAGCAAAGCTCATGTTCATGAAAGGGGACTCAGACCTCTGCAGAGAGGCCACTGCTTTCACACAGATGGCAAGTGTCCTTCTCCGCAGCTTGATGGCAGAGCCGGTGGCGTATCCAGGGCATGGCACATATGGCACATGCCTTGGGCACCACTTGAAGAGCCGGTGCAACAAAAGTTAGCTGAATAATGAATAATGGGGTTGAATAATGACAGTGGACTGTCACTTTCATTATTTAACTTCCTAGCTGCTGGTAGTTGGTTGGTTGTTAGGACACCAGGTGGTCCTAGCAACTAACCAGTAAGAGAAGGTGTTGAATAATGACAGTGGCAGTCTGGTGTCATTATTTAACCCCTGAAGCTGCCAGCTATTTGCTAGGACCACTTGACGTCCTAGCAGCCAACCACCAGCAGCCAGGGAGTTGAATAATGACAGCCAGTTGACATACTCTGTTGGTGGTTGTTTGCTAGGACCTCCCTGCAGCCTAGCAACCAATCAATGACGTGCTGCCTCCCCAGTACCCTCCCATCCGAGCATTCCAATTGACGTGCCTCCTGCTGCCCACCCACCCGTCTCAGTCCGCCCCCCGCCTAAGTAAGCCAGTGCACACATAAGGGCAAACTCTACACTATCAATTAAGGGGGGACTCTGGGGAGTCTGATACTGTAACGCTTCCGGGCTGGTTCAGTTTGGATCACAGCTACAGACAAGTGTTGCTTCTGAGTTCCCTTTTAATTAAAAGGTTCTAAACCCTCCGTTTT